AAAACAACTCACAACATGGATAAACCTGGAGGATATTATGCTTAGTGAAATTAGTCAATCACAAAAGGACAAATATTGCATGAGTCCACTATGGTAGAGTTAAGGAGAGATTCACTTGCTAAATTGAAACGTTCTATGATAGTTTCAGGGAGATAGGGGTGAGGGGAGGAAAATATAAAGTGAAGAGAAGTAAATGCTGTTGACTGATGGTAAAAAAAAAATAAAATATTTCTAGTCTTCTCTGTTATCGGTCCAGGTCAGCAGTTCAAAACTAACAGCTGTTCTGCGGGAGAACGGTGAGGCTTTCTGCTCACGTAAAGATTTAAAGCTTTGGATACAGGGTCGCTATGAGTCAGAATTGACTCCATGGCACATAACAACAACAACAAATGTCTTCTCAAGCTGCCCTTTGAAATTTTCTGTTCAGCTTTTACTTCAGTTTTTCCAGTCACACTATTTTTTCTATCTGAATTTGTTCAAGAGCAAATTTCAGAGTCTCCTCTGACATCATTTTAATCTTCTTCATGTATGATGTTTTTAATGTTATCCCATAACTCTTCTGGTCTTCAGTCATTAGTATTTAATACATGGTCTCAAAATTCTGATGGGATATACTCAAGTTGATATTTTGTATCTCATAAATGTGCTTTAATTTTCTTTATGAGCAACCGATGATCTGTTGCTCAGTCAGCTCCTTATTTTGCTGATGATACTGAGCTTCTCTATCATTGCTTCCCATAGTTGTAGTCAGTTTGATTCCTGTGTATTCCATCTAGTGAGGTCAAGCATCATAGCACCATGCAAGTCACCATGTTATGGCAAACTGACATAAGAGTGGTTGGAAATCTTAGAGATATAAGGTAAGAAAAATAAATTAAAGACATTCAAGTTAGCAAAAACAAAAACTGTAAAACTCTCTATTTGTAAATGATGTGATCCTATACATAGAAAATCCCAAAGACATGGCAAGAAAATTGTTAGAACTAGCTGAAAGATTTAGCAAAGTGGCAGGGTACATGATCAACATAAAAAAAATAGCTGGATTCCTTTACACTAACAAAAAAGAGCTCCTTAAAGGAAATCAGGAAAACACATTTACAATAGTCACCCAAAAGATACAATACTTAGGAATTAATCTAATTGAAGAAA